GTGTTTGTGATTGTGTTTGTGAGTGTTTGTGGTTGTGGTTGTGATTGTGCTTGTGATTGTGTACTTGTGATTGTGTGTTTCTGGTTGTGTTTGTGGTTGTGTGTTTGGCGTTGTGTGTGTGGTTGTGTCTTTGTGGTTGTGTTGTTGTGGTTGTGTGTTTGTGGTTGTGTGTTTGTGGTTGTGTGTCTATTGTTGTGTGATTGTGGGTGTGCGTTTGTTGTTATGTTTGTGGTTGTTTTTGTGGTTGTGTGTTTGTGGTTGTGTCTTTGTGGTTTTGTTGTTGTGGTTGTGTGTTTGTGGTTGAGTGTTTGTGGTTGTGTGTCTGTGGTTGTGTGTCGATTGTTGTGTCTTTGTGGGTGTGTGTTTTTTGTTATGTTTGTGGTTGTGTTTGTTGTTGTGTTTGTGGTTGTGGTTGTGGTTGCGTGTTTGTGGTTGTGCTTGTGGCTGTGTGCTTGTGGTTATGTGTTTGTATTTGTGTGTTTGTGGTTGTGTTTGTGGTTGTGAGCTTGTGGTTGTGTTTGTGGTTGTGTGTTTGAAGCATACTATCTGCCATTCAATCTGCCATTCTATCTGGCAATCTATCTGACATACTATCTGGCATACTGTCTGGTGGCATTTTATCTGGCATATTTTCTGGCATTCTACCTGGCAATGTATCTAGCATTCTACCTGACGCAGCATTCTATCTGGCAATCTACCTGGCATTCTATCTGGCATTTTATCTGGCAAACTATCTGGTTGAGGTCCAGGGGTGCACACTGCGATCGGATCCTTGCGGTTGAGGTCCAGGGATGCACACTGCGATCGGATCCTTGCGGTTGAGGTCCAGGGGTGCACACTGCGAGGGGATCCTTGCGGTTGAGGTCCAGGGGTGCACACTGCGATCCGGAGCTGGCCAGACAAGATCGGCGAAGCAGATTGGCGAAGCAGATTGGCGATGAAGATTGGCGATGCAGATTGGCGAGGCGATGAAGATTGGCGAGGAAGGAAGCAAGGAGGAAGGAGGAAGGAAGGAGGAGGAGGACGCGGAGGAGGAGGAGAAGGAAGAACAACTGTGATAAAATCTAACAACCCTCACCTGGCAGGTGGGGAACTTCTAGTTTTGTTCGGACCAGGCCTACGTTACAAACGTTTGAGGGTAATACCAACATACCAAATAAACACAAATACCAAAAAAATGTGTGAGATAAATGAGAGCAAAACAAAGAAAACAACAAAGACACTCAATTCCTAGTTAGTATAGTCTCAAACATATCTTGTTTTGATAAATTTTCCCCACCTGCCAGGTGAGGGTTCTTAGATTGTATCAGAGATGGCCCTCCTCCTTCTCCTTCTCCTCCGCCCTCGGACCTCAACTGCAAGTGCTGGATCGCAGTGGGCTCCGTCGGACTTCAACCGCCAGCGCTCGATCGCAGTGGACACCGCCGGACGTCAAGCACCAGCGCTTGATCGCAATGGGCACTGCCCCAGGGCTCGATGGCAGTGGGCATCACCGGACCTCGCCGGATAGAATGCCAGAATGTGTGGCAGATAGAATGTCAGAATATTTGCCAGGTGGAATGCCAGTATATGCCAAATAGAACGCCCGTCTCCCAAATAGAATGCCAGAGTGCTTGCCAGAGTATACTGCAGATAGGGTGCCTGACATGCCAAAATAGAATGCAAGAGTATATGCCAGATAAGCTGCCAGTATATAAATACAAAGGGTGTATATATATACACAAGGACACTTTCTTTGATTGCATCAGAGTACATACCAGGACCAAGGTTAGACCATATGTCACAGCACATGCAGATCAGACTTCACGGCTGGAAAAGTGTCAGAACAGAACACGCGCCAACAAGCACGTCAGAACACAGTCCAGAACTTGTTCCAACCTTTATGGTAGATGACGTGTCAGAGTCAGGGCACAATCCAGACTTGAAGCCACAAGCGTCAGAACATTTTGCCAATCCGCATGTCCGCCTGTGTCAGGCTAGTCTGTCAATATATGTGCCCTGCCTTCTTCCAAGTCACCTTTCAGGGTGGGGATCACGCGAAGTAAAGTGATGTGTCTGCTTGCATTTTCTTTGTTAAAGGTGATACTTTTGGTTTCTTGGTATTTCTTTCGATGTACATGTAGCACATCAAACGCAATAGATAAGTTGTATAGTCTTTATTGTTTCTTTTCTGGTGCCGTTGCAGAGTTTTAAGGTGCTTCATATTTAGGTGGACCAGGTCAAGAAATGAAGTTATATAACTACTTTGCTGATGATGATGTCAGGATTGGTATCACAACATTTTATTTGGGATCTGGTCAATATGTGTTCTCCTGAATGTCCTGTTCACATAGGCGCCCGCTACATATTCCTTACTTTTGGCACACACAGCTGGTTAATGAAGGAAACATGGACCAAACAAGTATTGGCACCAAATTGTGAGAGGCGTCAGTAGTTCCAACATGTTCCAACTAATTCATATTGTCCTATTTGTTGCAAGGAGCTGGACATCATTCATGTCTTATGGGAATGTAAGTACTGATCCCAGTAAGGGTTCAAGCATCCTGCCGACTGGAATGATCGTTTTCAGATAGACGGAGACAGGCATCTTTGGTCCCGTGGATTGCGACAAAGCAGCGCGCTAGTGCCAAATGACTTTGCTTTGGCAAATCTGGGTCCTTTGATGTAAATCCTAGGTCCTAGAGTGCACCTTCAAAACTCCCCGTGAATTTCCGTTGCTGCCCTTTCCACTAAAGGGGATGCTCGGATTCCTTTGTGGCATCTGCCATCGCCTTAAACCTGAAGTGCGACTTGGAGCTGCTTGAATTTCGGCTCTTGTTCAAGTTCAACTGGCGCAAAAACAACCGCCAACGCTATGCATAGTGGCGGTTTCGTCACCAGCTGTATGGAAATGTGGCAGAATAGGCAGGTGGTAGAGAAGTGCCCGGATTTGGCAAGAGGTTTGGTCGGTGATATTGACAAAGTGCATGTGCTTTTCATCCAAGACTGTCCAGGGGACGAGGCGCCTCATGCCATCCAAGGACATCACTGCTTGGTTGACTGTTCTCAAAATTTGGTGGGAAGGGGCCAACTCAGGCGAAGCAAATCGAACTGAAGGCGGCTGATGCTTTTTCCATGAGGGAATCCTTTCTGGTTGCGCAGCAGATCGTATTGCGCATGTGGTTCAAACAATGCATCATTTCCTTCACTTATGCTCCGCAAAGAGTGGGCGTCCACTCATGGCGGGATCATTCATCTTAAGAAGAGAGAACTAGCACTCCTCGGTGGTGAGTCCGTATGAACATGATTGGGAACCATTCTGCTCAGGCTTCCGCTGCGGGAAATGTAAGTCCACGGTGCATGTGAAGCTAGCGGCACCAGAGAATTGCGGCTTTTCCGACTAGAGATTTGCGGCTCCGTGCCCTCTTAGATGACATGTTTGGGTGATGGCCGCCTCTACTCATTGGTGTAGCTGTGCTCGGTGAATGCAGATCTGGCCAGCTGACGATGAAGACAACCAGCGAAACGCCGAAGACCATGGAAGGGTGAACCGCCTACTGTGTTGCGCCCATTGCGTGCGTCTTTTCATGTTCTTTGTGCCGCTTCGGCACTTGGCAGAGATCTCAGGAAAAGGCTCAGGCAAAAAAAACAATCTTAAGTATGTCTTTGATGCGATGAAAACAAAACAGCTGCAAAAAATGCAGGGAGCATCAGGGAGCCCTCTTGGCTCTATTTTGAAGGCTTGTTTGCTTGCAACAAGGGCACCTAAAACTACATCCACAAAAGTCAAATGAGCAAGGGGCTAAAACAATACCATTATAACGTAGCTATTTATATATTGTTTGTTCATCGTTATGGCACATTCATATTTTGCAAATAATGATTAAGCTGATAATTGTTACATTAGTGCTGGACATTTCTAGGGTGCATGCAAACGAAGACTGAGCTGTTGATTCTTAATTGATGTCATTGACATTGCACATGGAGATTGGGCATAGGAAGATGGAAAAGTGCGTTTCACCTAGGTTTGAGGGCAATTTTGTTGACATGTTACATGATATTTACCGTGTTTATCAAGGGTTTTGAGCCACTGTGTGCTCTTCCAGGCACACCCGCTCGTTTTTTTTGGGGGGGTCATGCCATCATAGGGCACCACTACCACCCCCTCGGGGCTGCTTCTCGACATTGGATTCCTGACATCGGCCCACCGGAGGATGGCAAACGGCGGCTGATCAAGCATGTTGCTGATGAAAAACCTGATCGCCCCAGCAAACTCCACAGTCGATCACCCGAGATAGCAGGGATAGCAGGCGAAATCCCAAGACCTACTTTCTGAGAAAGTGGATCCTCGGTGATCCTCGTGGGACAATTAAAAAAGAATTGTCCAAAATGGCCACAATGACCACTGGACAGCGGATGGACAGCGCCGTGGCGGATAGGCTGGATGCTGTCCGAAAAAAAAACGAAAAAAACGCAGGTTGCAAGGCCTGTAGCTAGGCAGCTAGACCGGGCGCCACATTGTTTGGCGCAGATCAGGTGTAGCTGACAGATTCAAACAGCTCAGCACCACATGTGTCATTGAATCATCGTTGAACCAGAACTCATGCAAACTCCGCGTTAAGAACCACAAGATCGAAGGTTGCACCTTGACACACAACATGTGTGTAGATTCTGTAGATGTTGCATGCCAATTCCACCCCACTGTCTCCTTTCTTCCCTTCCCAAAGCTCCTTTTTTCCCATCCCCAAAGCTCGAGCGTGGCACGCACAAGCACTGCTGAAAGTTCTGGACTGTGCCTAGCTATAGGAGTACAGCATCAGTATTGGTAAACTGAAGCCTTGCCATTGACACAATCTGTGGTTCTGAGATTCGGCCTCCATGCGCGCATACAAGGGCGAGGTTCTGGGCCAAAGTTTGGCCGAGGATTTGGGACTTGTAGATGGTGTAACTGTGTTGCCCAGAGTTTGATGAAGTTCAGCAATAAACACTGGCGCCAACAACTTTCACACGGGAATCTATGAGTGGTCTTTAGACACAACAGCGTCCTATTTCTACCAAAATTGCGCACTCGCACATTTGGATACTTCGAGTTCCGCGGCTAGAGCTCGCATTGCACGAGTCCAGCTTCATTCGGTCGTTGATCGCTCAGGGTCGGCACCATGAAGCTGGTCATGGACTCATGGACCTGCTGGAACTGCCAGTGTGGCTCGGGATGCGAAAAATGCGTCAGAACTTGGCAGAATTCCAGGCTACCAAAAAAACAGGCAGGGCACCAAAGCCAGGGTGAATGATGATCCCAACATGTGTTTGCTCCTGTTACATCTATATAGTTCTCTAGACTGTTGCTGTCGCTGTCTATATTATATTAACTAAATTAATTTATACTAAATTGTATTAAACAAACTCGTATTTAAAAAACAACTAATATTATATATTATATACATACGTGGGTCTGCATCGAGTGACAACTCTCCTGCAAGTGTCCAACAGTAGCTTGCGACCGTAGGCAACAGTATACTCATTGAGCGCACAAAAACTGCAAAATCACGTTGGAGGACTTGAACCCACGACAGACGTTATACGCTCCCTTCGCTGTTGCGCAAAACCAGCGCTGTTGCGGCTGTAACGTCACAGGGCACCCATTCGTCCGCTGCGTTCGCCGCCAACCCCACGGATCCTCGCCGCTGCGCTCCGTCATCCGCTCCTCCTCAGCACTGGAGCTCATGGCGCCTCCGAGGTCGGGACCTCGCGAGGGAAGAGTGGATCGGTCGATTCCGAGTGGTCGATTGGGCCGGACTGGATGGGTGGTTTGGTCAGATGGGACTGGAGGGTCAATGTACTTGGAACCCAATTTGACCTCTGTTTTGATCGGACAAGACCATATTTGGGGTGGTTCTAGGTATGTATACATACGAGTCTCTAAAGTGACTGGATGTGGCACCCCTACGCTCCGAACAAACTCGGCACCTAATTTGATGGAACTGCTGGTGTGTAAGGAGTAAAAGGCGATATTGTGGGTGGTTGGTGCTCAAGAAAGGCAAATCCTTCAGGCACCAGACATATAATTGCGTTTATATTATATCTACACAGAAATGAAAAAAAGGCGAGCTTTGTCCAAGGTTGTGTATATAATTGTATATACATTAATGGGGGCTAATGACTTAGGTCTTTAGTGGAGTTTTTGCATCTTCACCTTTTGCATTATGATAATTATGACTTAGGACTCGATATGTTCAGGTACTGAATCGTATGATAATATCCGCAGGTAGTATCAATATTTGGAAAGGAATGCATCATGGCACAGGGGGACCCTGTTTTTTTCTAAGAATCAATGTTGAATTGATTCCTTCATTGGACTGTGATATATAATCATAGGGTTCTGAAGTGGCGCCGGTAGCTACATTGAAACACATACACATATATCACATATTGTCTAGGCACGTCGCTCTGAAGGGATTTTGGGGTACCTCTTTCTTGAACCGAGGACCATGGGTCATTGGAAGATTCCATTCCTTGACTTCTTGCGGACTCCCAAAAATGCTTTCTTTTTTTGGACAAGCTGTACCAGATCTGCCAGGTACATGGCGGTGATTGGCGGGGTTGGGCCGGCATTCCAGGGTCACGGTGTCTTGTGGCTACGCTTCTCATTATGTACTGTGTTTTGTCATGTTTGTCGTCTCATGCTGCCAAGTGTGATGATTGGTGTTGTCAGGTTGTGTGATCATTCTTTGCCGTCTTCTGTTGGCCCACCAGTGTGGGACGCGGGTGCCACTGGGGACACGGCAGGGAGGATAGACCCAGCGGCACCGACGTTGTGCTCATGTTTGCTGTATGCTTGGATGTTTCTCATTTTCTAGTCTGTAGTCTGTGGTGATGCTTGGATGTTTGCACTCATCAGACACCGGCTCGTGCAGCAGGTCACAATAGGACAGGTTGTTTATATATATATTGCATATTATAATATATATATATAATTAATATATATATTATATTGTATTATATCATATTATATATTGTTTAATTATAACTATATTTAATATCTAGCTACCCCAATCCCTTCAGGTGAAAATGCTAGCACGTTCATAAAACTTCATATTACAACTTCAGCAGGTGCTCCCCCCCCCAAAAAAGCACATAACCACATGAACCAAATGTGAAGAAAAAACAGGGGCATCCCCGCCTTGCTTGAGCACCTTCGCATCGGTGTCCTCGGCTTCGCCTTCGAGCTCCATCTCTTGGCCTCGGCGATGGGGTCGCGGTCGGTGCGAGCTGGGGGAAGCCTGGGAAAAGACATAGGCCCTAGGGCTCCAGTCGTGCCTTCTCAGAAGGTATTTGGACTCTCCTGGCACCCACCCCAGTCCCACCTTCTCAGCAGGTACTTGGAGCCCAATAATGAATTCACAGGATCTAAATGGGGGGGCTATATACCAGCACAGCTGGCGACGTGGAGCGTCTATGATGATCAAACGCGGAGCGTCTCTCGCTCTCTCTCTCTCTCTCTCTCCCTTCCTTATGACCTGCATGATTCATGATCGTTCGCGCACGTTGGAAGGGACACCTGCAGACCCATCCGACTTGTCAACATTTGAAGTGGAAAATAGACCCCTGAAGACCATCTTCCCCTGGAACCAGTTTTCCACTTCCATGTTTGTTGCAAAAAGGGCATTCTATTTCAACTCATGAAACAGGTGGCACGAGGTGGATCGCGCTGGGTCGTGGTTTTGCCTTCAAAAAGGTCGTACAGTTCAGGGACTCAACTTGCTTTCGTCAGACGAAATCGGTTTCACCAAGGCTCAGCAGGACCTCCAGAAAAAAAGACAACGCTCGTTTCAGTCGGCATGTTTTTTTCGGCACACCAGGTGAAGCTCCGCTCCACCGTCCCCCCGAGCCACCGCAGCACCACACCGCAGAACGAGCCGCTGACGGTGGTGCTGATGCGGCTCCGGCCGGAGAATCGAGGCTCGATGCCCCAGCAGTCTTGGAGCCTCGGGAGGGCGGAAGGGCACCCGGGCGCGCGGCCGACCGGTACCGGCACGTGGAGCGGAAGGAAGGAACGTGGGACAGGATCGATTGGCTTCAACCAAAGGCGTGGCACAGAGCTTCTGGTTTGATGTCGTGGTCGTGGGCATTAAGAACAAGGCCGAAAAGAAAAAAGCCCCTGCAGAAAGCAATGGACGAACCTGTCTGTCATACGACAATATGTTCCAGGTGGATTGTGGTTTCACGTCAGCGAGTGGCAACATCAAAAGCCGCATACGCATGCTTTCTTTTCCTTGTTCGAATTATCCTGCCTTAGTGGAGGATCTTCAACAATGATCGGTATGGCCCAAGAAAGGCATGGGACCAACCTTTTGCTGCCCAGCCAACCGAGAGTATATATTATCCCTATAGACTTCCAAGACCATTATATAGTTGACCTGGTGTTTGTAGTGCAAAATCCTTAGTTGATTCGGTAAAGCCTATTAAACTAATGGTGGTTGGAAGCCTAGGGTTATAGCCTTTTGTGGATGTATACCAGCACCAACAACAGGTCACCAATTGAAACCTGTCAGGGCCTAACAACCCTCCAAAGGAGACCTGTTGGAAGGTGCTGGTACTGGATGTCCTGACTTCTTTGCTCGAAAGAACAACTTCGCCTCAAGTGCGACTTGATCGGTATACGTGTCCATGTGGTCCCATGTCCATGTCTTCTCCACACGAATACAAATCGTGCCCCGTTGTTGTGCACATATGCCTTGGTGTTAGGAAGGTAGGAACCACACATCTTTGTTTCCAGGTCGTATTTTGAAGGTATATATTAGGCCGACACACGTCATCCATCCACCTCACAGTGTCACAAGAGCTGTCACAATGTGTCACGTCGAGGATCGCTTGGATGGCGAGGTGGGCGCTTTGGAGGTCGTAGAAGCACAGGTTGGCCACGGCATGGGTGAGTTGCTCCTGATCCTGGCACTGACTGACACACCCTACCGCCCCAAATTTCGCATACAAAAACGCCACCATCCGCCGTCAGGTCCGGAGGTGAAACGGCATGAATGGATCACGGTCGACCGGAGCTCCAGTCCGGCAACAAGATCGATCTTCCACAGATCACCTCTCCCCCTGCCCAACTTGGGAGGTGATTCGGGGTATCCATCGATTGCCGGGTCCTGGCAGACTCTAGGGTCTTCCCCCTTCACTGGACTTGGGAGTTCAACCGGCGGGCGATGAACACCACCGCCCTGCCCTGCACCCGTCCCTAAGGCAGGGCCCGAAGCAAACCCTATCCCAGACACTCCATGGGACTGCCATATAGGATAGTGTTTTGGTGTTGGGCCCGTTTTTTCTCCCTGCCATAGAGAGCCCGTTTTCCCCGCTGCCATGGGAGAGCGCCTACGGATTCTTAGGATTGAAAAGAATTACCCTAAGAATCCGGGCCCTCAGATAGGGTTTTGAGGGGCCCCAAACCCTTGTTATAGAGGGTTCGACCGCTTAAAAGGAGGGTCTGTTCGGATCCCTAGGGTAGGACATTGTTTTTGAGGGTCCATTGGTCCATCAGCCCAGTGGTCATCTTCCGTCCACCTGGGGCGACCGACCCGCAATGGAACAGAGAACAGACCGACCCCGGCAAGGAACTTCTGACCCAGATGCGACGGGCCGCCCTGGAGGGGTCTGGGGTCTCAATTCTGGTTTTGAGGGAGGGGTTGGGCTGTGAAGGGAGCGTTTGGGTAGGGGATTTTGTGGCCCACTTCGAATCCTTCCGTCCGTGAGCCATGAGCCACGGCGTTGGTGATGGGCCATATGGGCCTTTTGGCGCCGGGGGTTCTTCCTGGTGAGGCCTCCACTGCAGGAATCAGTTCCGAGGGCATCTCAGGTGACTGAGGCCCACCCAGACGCTCCAAACAGCCCGACCGGTCCCTCAAAACCGGAATTGAGACCCTATAGACATCCCCAGACCCCTCCAATATGAGGGTCCGACCCCTCCATAGGTTTGGGCCCAGGGTCGCGTCTGGGCAGAAATGGACCACTGAAGCATCGAAACCAGGACCCCGACCCCGACCCCTCTCAGAGTGGTTGGATCGCCGCGTACGGACCTTTCGGCCGGGGCACACGAACCCGGTATCCCTTAGAGCATCGAACCATCAGACGCTGCTCCACCGATGTCTGCGAGATCGCAGGTTTCAACCAATGTGGACGTCTTTCAAAATGATCGCCAAGTGCTGGTCGCATTTCTGAATGTTTCCTGAACAAAACACAAAAAAAGAACGGCTCCTGGCCTCCTGGCTGACTTTCCTCGTGAGGTCCCGCAGCCCTTCCACGATCGTCTCGGGGTGGGAGGTCTTGTAGAGGTTCAGAAACGCCAAGTCCTTTCCAGCCACTTGACCTCGGAGGGGTTACCAACGACCAGTGACCTTCCAGCGACCAGTGACCACTTCAACATGGATCTCTTGGATCCAGACGTGCGCATACCGTCCGAGGTTCGTGCTGCCGAGGGAGGTGGAGCACGTGGTCATGACGAAAACATTTTCCCTCTTTTGAACCCACGAAACCAAACCCAAACCCAGTCCCCAAGCCTAACCCAACCAACATTATATATATATATAAAGCTCCATGTATAGAATATATGCCTACATTATTGGGGTGGTTTTAGGGGTCATGTAGGTAAATATTCCATACATGGAGCGTTTGGGTATAGCTACAAGGCCATCAACTGGTCCGAGAGATCGTCTTCCACGGCCGGGTGCCTGCAGTGCCTTCCCTCTTTTTCGGAGCCCCCGTGGAGGTTCTCAAATGCTCCGAGAGACTGTAGAGAGCTCCAAGCCATGCCATCAGCACAAAGAAACCCAGAATCAGCAACAAGGAAACGGCCAAAACCACCCACAAAGTTTCCATGGCTGGTTCACATTCGCCATCTGCACAGCCCAAGGAGACTGCCAAAACACACGCCAAGGCCTAAGTCAGTGACTTGCAGCAGCACTGGACAACCCTCCGGAAGAGGCCCCGGTTCAGCGGACGTACCGGTCACCACCGTGCAAGGCTCGGGACAAAACCAAGTATATAGACTGTATACAGAAAATGTATTGTTTCCTCTCCAAAACTGCTGATTGACTGCAACAAGCAAACCAAAGAAACATCAAGAAACCATTGTCATTGGCATGTTCTTCAAATGTTGAACTATCTTCCAAAAGGACACAAACTGAGGTCTGAATTACAAAACAACATCGGCCATTGAAATCTCGACTCAACTCAAGCTAAAGGACAGAGACTGAAATGGTGTCTGCCAAATTCAACCATGGAGTCTGCCAAGGCTGCACCGTCGCCTGCACGCCTCATGTTCGATCGACTTGACTCGTTGAAAAACGGGTCTCCCTCCCCAGCCAAGCAGGGTCTCCCGGAACAATTGACATGACATGACTCGGGAACCAGCAAGATCTGACTATATTCACTATTCAAAAAGACCGTCTCTAATCATGTCCAAACATTTACTGGACACTTCTGCGCACGCGAGCACACACACACAAAAGTCTGAGTTGGTGCGATAAACAAAGTGAAACATGTCGACATGATATCATCAAACACAAGAGCTCAACGTGTGCGAATGATGAACCATGTGGTGAGCTTTGCCAGGTTAGAACCGGTGTTGGCTCTAAGGTGGGGAGTTGAGTGCCTCTTCTGAGATGGCTTGAAGCCGACCCCTACTTACTGTACTAAGTATACCTAGGTTCCATCGATGCCGGTTGTTCTGTGCGTTTTTCATGTCCAAATGGGTCCAGAGACGTGCGCACATGGAGCTTTGGCTGCGGATTTCTGGCGAAACGTCCACCCTGGCCGAGTTTCAAAGGTCCCTTAGGTGGACGAACGAAAGCCCATTAGGTGGACCTGGCTCTTGGCCTTTCACCTGCAAACTGCCAGCTTCAAATCTCTCACGCCCAATGTATTGGCGACTCCTTTCAGATATTAGCGCATCGTTTCCTCTTTGAAGAACCATCTTCCCGCCCTTTTCCAGTTCCCTGTCCCAAGTTCCCTGTCCCCAGTTTGCTGCCCCCAGTTCCCTGCCCCCCACTTCCCTTTTCTCCAAAGAAGCCAAGGGAGACCATCAGCACCATCAGCATCATGGACAGCTGCAAACTGGATGAATCCGGTGCGAGGATCGTGGGCAGCGACCTGGGGTCGATCGAGCCAACATCCGACATGTTCGCCTCTCAGCACATTCAGCACCTGGTGCAGCTCTCTGGGCTGAAGTGTTTCTGTTTTATAAAGGGATTTGGGGGTTATAAAGGAGGCACTGACAGGTTCCCCATTTCATCAGTTAGGTATACGAAGGATGCCAGCCACCGTCAGCCATTGGCCATCTGACCCGCTGGACGTCGGGACATCGTCGATGGCTGACATCCAAACATGGATTTGTTCCTACTCGAAACACCTTCTCTTTCAGGGAGACGGGAACCCGCTTGGAGACACAAGTGTCACCCTTCTTTCAGTCCAAAACGGGCAACCACTCTGGAGGTCCACCTCCGCCTCGGCGCGCCAACGGGGCACTTGGGGGCTTTCGGAGTTGCGCCGCCAACGATGGCTACCTGCCCACCAAGGCACAGGAAAGGTCCTCTGGTGAGAAGGAACAAGCCTCGTTCTCCGCGCCCGAGGCGTGAAAAGCAGCGCGTCCGTTGGGACATTATATAATAAGGGACTCTTAGCTGGCTAAACATCCTCAGGTGAACTGAACAACACACCTTCAGCCTCTGGGTTGGAGCTCAGGTATTTTTTCTGATTCATGTGGCCACCCATTTGTTCCAACCACATCCATCAAGCGCTGGCTGCGACAAGCGCTGAAAAAGAAGGACTGGGTAGCTGTTCGAAGGCTGTTCGGCAGGTGCCGGATGTCGAGAGACATCGAAAAGCGCCATGGAAACGATGTCCGTGCTTTCACGACGTCGTGGCGGATCATGACTCCCAACCTGCGGTAGTTCTCATGAGTCAAGATGGAAGCTGGAAGTTCACGTCATCATGTTATCTTTGTGCGGTTTCGAGAAATGTGGAGCACATGTCATGATCATCGCATGTGATGTCTGTCATCCCAAAAAACACAAATGACTACAAGTCACAAATGACTACATGTGATGATTTGCCTTTCTGTCATCAGTCATGTGATGTCTGTAACATCAAACAGTGACTTCAAGCCTTGAAAGTTGTTTGAAATGGGTTCCCATGGCCCATCAAAACCATGTTTTCCACTGCCAGTACAGCTAGTGGTTTCAGAGGTTCGATGGCGCAACTCAAGATGTCTTAGACAAATGGGGGGTCCTTATCAACCTTGCACCAGCGACAATCATTGGGGTCATGATGCGAGTCTGGGATGCCATGGGAGTCATGTAGTCGTAATGAAATCGAGTCCTTTCGAAAGAATACATTTTTGTAAGAGGTCATGTCATGCGAGTCTGGGAGGTTCATGATTCTCAGGATGTCATGTCCGCGTCATGCTCTTCGGCCAAAAAATAACAGAAGAGGCCTCCACACCCGAAATCGGTAGAAAATGGATGCCAAGAAGCCAAACCACCAAGTGTTGGGTTGAAAGCGTCGGATCAAAAAGTTCACCTGGAGCAGGCGGTGTAGAATTCCCCAAGGGCGGGTTGACCAAGCCAGGAGTGGCGGTGTTGACCGCAGGGGACCAAAATACAGCCCCGGGCACTCGACCAAAATACCGCACAAAATTGAGGGGTTGCTGGAGCGAACGATGTGGCCCATGCGGGTGGCCCTTGCCATGTTTTGGTGAGGGATGCTGCCACGGGACTCGAGGAGTGAGGGTTGATGTGAAAAGGGCAGCCTTTCAGCTCAGCTCTCTTATCGATATATGGGACCTTTGTCGATGGCCCGAACTGGTCGGCCAAGTCGACAGCGATTTTCACAGCAGCAAACCTGCACTCGTGCCAGTAGCAAACGTGCACCGCCCTAGTTGACGTCAGGTAGTGCTCAGCGCGTTGCGCGTTGGAATTGCAGGTTTTTTTCCAAATGATTTGCAGTAACAGCAAATGTTGAAATGATTGTTCCAAATCATTTACTGTAACAGTGACTGTACTGTATTGTTTGCAGTAACAGTAACAGTAACAGTAACAGTGACTATTGCTTTCAGGCCTTTGTTGGCTCAAAAAGGTGTGTGTTGGCACGAAAGCGAACAGCTCATGTCACCATGTCGAGTGAGGCACAGGTGCCCATGGAGCTTCCCTGCCACGGTCGTGCTACATGGTCCCTACGATCGTCTGGTTGCATGATTGCATGGTATCCTTGAGTCGTATCCTTGAGTGGGCTTTGTTCGATTACAGTGGTTTCAAAGTAGATGGCACAATCCCCCCAAATGTGGTCATCTAAAGGTCATCTGGTGCCAGTGCCATCTACTCTGAAACCATTGTATATCTTGGGTCTATCCTATTGCCTGTAACAGTGGATGATGGCTAGGTTGCAGGCCTTGTCCCAAAATCGTGAACAGCTTGTTGATGGGTCCTGTTACAGGTAAGTTCGGACAAACCCCATTGTATATTCTTCTCAATGACACTCTCCCTGGAACTAACATGGAAGTGGAAAACCACCTGTTTGTTCCACTTCCATGTTAGTTCCAGGGAGTGTATGTGTTTCGAGTCGGCAATTCAGATCTGATGGACTTCACGCCAAGATCGGCGCCCGACGCCAGCTCTTCCAAACACACCGCAACGGGTCGCGGAACCAGAAGCTCGTCCAGCCTGGCCCAGTTTCTCCGCATTGGAGGACCACTTCGGCGCCATCATGGTCCAAAGAGTGCAAACCGACAAGAAGATCAGCCCTAAAGCAAGCAAACCTAAGGACAGGGAGGTTTCAATTGGTTCGTTTTTTTGAACATATAGAGGAGCTGGTAAGTTTGGGTGCCTTATTACCCAAAGCAAGCAATCCTCAGGACTTCTTTCTGTTGGGATTGTGCACCAGGAACAAAAACACATCCAGTGAAAAGGGAGCTCAACTATGAGAGATGAGATGAAAGGCAACTGTAACAACACACCAAACGCTAAAAGCCACCGACCAAAAGGCTGGCTGCAGGTCTTGTTGATTCCAAACAACTATATGAGTACCAAAAAGATCCCAAAACAAATAAAACACACCAACCATAGAAAATAACACAACAAAACCTTGATATATAAGTCACAGTAGAAAAGACACCCACAATGAAAGCAAAGATGATATTTTGGGAAAGACCAACACCATCCAACACCAAAGATCACAAAAGTATGTTTCTGGGAAAAGGAAAGCGGCAGTCTCCTAATCAACAGGTTAGCAAGGCCAAGCACTGGGGATTTCCTATTGTTCTATGTGTCACATTTTCTTTAGATGTTTGTGCAGCTTCTTGTTGTATCTGCGTGTCTGTCGTCGTATCTAGTTGGCTCTTTTCATTTATGTGTTGTTGTTGTTGTTGTTGTTGTTGTCCTATTGAGTCTATTGTGTTCTTATGTTTGGAAATCTTGGCGTAGACGACAGAGAAGCACATGTTTGAGGACATCTCGAGGAATATATAAAAGAGCTGTAGTCTGCAAAGTAGAAAATGATACACACACAGATATTATCAGCAACAATCACAATTATAGACACAATATAAACATATATATATATATGGCTAAATATAAAGCAAATATCAGTGGCATAAACATGAGATGTACAAAAATATTTACACATATTGAGATCTCCCAAAGGATTCGGGCCTTCCCAATCACCTGAGGATGGACTTTGGATGTATGTCCAGCATCCAGGACAGACAGAATGCTTGTACATTTCGTCCAGTCGACATGTGTGCCTCCTACCCTGGTGTGTTCTTCCATGTGTTCCAATAGAAGCAGAACCGACAATTGAACAAACAGAAAGTCCAGACAAACTTACAAAGTGAAAGTCCATGGTTCTGGGCAGAAAAGTCCTTGCAGGTTCCCAATGCTTTTTGCTGCCAAGAGGCAACCTCCGAAGACTTGCATGAGGACATGTTCTCCTGACCCACAAATGATGTCTGAATACTTCAGCATGCTGTAGGCTCCGTTGGGATGACGGAAACCTCGGGAGGTTGGCAAGTCGATCATTTGAAGCTACCGGGTCGATCATTCGAACGACCGAAGGTCTTCCCATGCAAATGCTCGGTCAAAACCTCATAAAACCAAACAAAACGCCTAATATGTTGATCCACGTATGGCTATGGGTCAAAACTGGTGAACAAATTGGTTGACCTATCATGACGGATCAGAATGGACTACCAAGTGACTAAAAGACATGGCCAACCCACCAGAAAACCCTGGAGCTCCAGGTTTTGACCCACCCCAATACCCTGGGAGTCTTTGACTCTGGTTAAAATGGTCTTTGGATCATTTTCCTTTGCTCCAATGAGCAAAATCTAGTTGAACTGGACTTCTAGGAACATATGCAAGATGGTTGATATGTAGAGGTTTATCTTCATGTATGCTGCATAGAGGGCCCATATACAGTAAGGGTGGACAAACGTCGCTGATCATCATCCCAGGAACACACGAAAGGCATGAGCCCCAGGTTGGTCATCGATGTGAAGCCCACCTGGCAGGGACGCGCGCCACCACTACGGCGCGCGTGCGAAAGTGAAAGAACAGCACGTGAGGTTCTGCGCCTAGCTCTCAGGATCCAAGCTCCAGAATCAGGTATCTGTATCTCATTCCTTAAAACAAAATACATTTCATACACTCCCTTCGGGGATGAAGTGAGTTCACTGTGGGATGAACAAAAACCATGAACTCAGATGGTGGGATGAAGTGACTTCACTGTTTCGGTCTAACCATGCTCGGTCAACGACCTCCCTCCCTCCCTCTCGGGGAGCGAGTCCGTTTGTCGGGGTCGATCGGTCGCGTCTGAGCGCGCGCGGGGCTATGGACCGGTGTAGGAGTGGCCCCGAGACACGTGGAGAGACCGACGGAGAACGAGATCGTGTGTTGGTTGATCACTCAGCTCAAATGGTGAAATGACCTTAGTTGAGACAAAACCCAAGTGTTGAGACAAACCCAAAAAGGCTTTCAGAAATTTTTATGAAATAGTAGTGACGCTGGTTTGTGTGATCCTTTCTTCGCAACACAACAACCGTGCATCACGTGTTTCGCGTTTCTTCGCATGTCATCGCTTTCGCGTTGTCTTCCGCTGGGTTCCTCGTCACGTTTTGCTTCACGTTGTCCGCCGTTTTCATTGCGAAGGAGACGGACGTCCCCCCACCTGCAAGAACTTCCCGGCCAATCCGATGGTCCGCGCAGGCGTCCACACGAACCGCCGTCGGCAGAGTTCTCAGTGCGAAACGAAGCGGTGCGAAACGAAGCATGGGAGAGGCGTGAAATGGGGCGAATTGGACATAAAGCGAAGCCAAATGAGAGGGAGGGGGTCAAGGAGCATTATGAGAATGTTTCAGACCTTTTCCAGAGTCTCGTTCATTGAATCAGTCCAGGCAGGTTGTCGGTGGCAGGTTGTCTCTGAGGGACGGTTGTTGTGAAACTGCCGGTGGTAGCAATAACCGAATCTTTGATAGAGACCATGGTTGCACTGCAAATTCACAACAAATCAATCAAGCGCCAAAACAACTGTGAATTGTAGACTCATTGATTATATTCAACCCCCCATATATCAAGAGGTGTTACATGTTTCTTCAATGCAAACGGTTGGGTTTTCCGAGTCTACAGTGTCTACAGAGTCGACTGTAACGCGAGACCCTGAATCTGGCGACATATGGCGACATCTTCTCGCCTGCCCAGACGCTCCAAACTCAAGTCTCGGGCCCTCGACCCTTGGCGGGCCTTCACTAGGTTTTGAGTCCTTGGACCCCCCCCCAGATCCTTGGCTGCCCATTTGGCTCAATCAAGATCCTCCACAACTTTGCAGGTCTATTGCCCGGGCTCCCAGAAATCAATGGCTGCAGAAACTGAAGTGGCATTGGTGATACCCAGGTTCTAGTTCCCTCCACCCAGTCACACTGTACTTTTTGAGCACTTGGGAATGTCCGCAATGGAGGCTGTACGGTACTCTACACTCGCACAAAGCCCTCAAACCTTGCAATGAATCACCTCGAGGAATCCTATACTTCGAAATGCAAAGAAACTAGGTAGCGTTGGGCTGTTCTGTAAGCGACGCTGGATCTGTGACATGACCGGGCCATGCGGCCGATGGCACCAACAAAGGACTCGCCGCTCAAAAGTGTATAGATACGCGGGTTCAGCTGTGTAACCCTTGCTTCCTCAGCAATATGAATGAAATGGTGGTGTTTTGTGATCAGCTGCCAGCAACATCTGTTCAACTGTTTCCTCACCCGGGTCGAGGATTGCAGATGTAGATCAGCATACGCTCGCAGGTGAAGCATGACGCGTTGGTAGTACTCCTCAGCAGCGTCATGGGGCAACACCAAACCGTTCATGTCCATAATCTGAAGAGCTCTGGCATAAGCAAACATGCACACATGCACTTGACGATCAAGCTCTGTAGCATCACTGCGCTTGCAAAGAGCTCCCACCACAGCCGTGAGCCAAAATGTCAACAGTTTTGAAGCATGTGCCTTGGAGGAAAGGCTTGGCCAAGATTGGCGAGTAAGGCGATGAAGGCGACTCACTGTAAACCGTGGTTGTGCACATGACAGTTTGTTATCTTTCTGCCATGCGCGGAAAGATGCATACGCTTTGCGAAGTAAAGGTGTGAGCTGCGCTTCATAGATGCCTCGAGAAGGCCAGTCTCCAAACGCACCACGTTCGCACAGATAGGTCAGGCAGCTTCCATTAGCCACCTTGCCTGTCCCCAAAAGCTGGGAGTGACACGCGTCGTGCATGAAGCGATCGAACCTCGCGCCCGGGACCTTGAACAAGCAAGACCGCTCCTCTTCCGGCGTCGCTTCCAAAAAGTCTTCATGCAGAAAGCGTGTCTTCATATGCTCTGCATCCTCGGAGAAATTGCCAAGAGTCAAGCCGATGTTCGGATGAGATTTGACGCATGGGCATCGAGAGCAAAATGTGTTTCGCCTAAAATTGTTTGCTCCAAAATGGTCAACCAACCACTTCATGTCGCCTTGTGTCGAGGAATAGGCAAATTGCCATCCAGAAGCTGTCCATGGATAATCTCCATTCCCACACATTTGCTGCAGCCGCGGGACGATGCCAGCTAGAATGTCCTGAACGAAGGTCAAAAACATCAATAATCACAACTTAGCAAGTGTGGGACTAAGAAAAATGAGATGCCCAGTTGAAACTGTTTTGCAAACCATTCTTTCATTCATTTTAGCCTATGGTAGCATGTGTGCAACAAAAACAGGTTGCAATGAGAAAAGGTTCGCTGTAGGTGTAACTTGTCGAAGTAGCCTCACTGTAAGTTGCCAGCAAAAAATAACGAGCCATTGCACGATTGCGAAAGGTAACTTCTGAAGACCATGCCATGATGCTGATGGCTCCAGCCTCGCTGTTGCGAAATGCTTGGACATCGTCACCATACATGGAAAACGGAATAAGCTTTGCCCGTTGTTCAGGTGACGTATGGAAGCTTGGGTGCTGCTTGTACCAATCTGCTTTAGCACAATGGTCCCAAAAGTCCTTCAGATTCATCCCACCAACCAGGAACTCCTCGAAGACACCGGCCTCCCACAAACCAACAGCCAAGTCATCAGGCATGATGACAGAAGTCGGACGCCAAACCACCTCATCAGTTCTGTAGTCATAGAAGCGAGCCCACACCGAGCTAATGGGGACTTGAGTGAGAGGTCCAAATTTTGATATAGCCCTTTGGAGGTCCCTCTCAGAGTTCTGCTCACGACGGCCGCCTGCTCCGATTTGAGACAACCGGAAAACAAGGTCAGAAGTAGGAACCTCTATCCCCAGAGTTCTTGCCCAGCGAATAGCCAGTTCAGCTGATTCTCTCACCTGCAGGGTAAAAGGTGCGCAAGAAACAATGTTTTATAAAGGCCGTTGATGGCTCATGGTGGAAGCCCACTACCTCTGTACTGGGGGCCACTCATGCGCATTTCTTGCGACAAGATGGGGTAGAAGGTGTTTAGAGCAGTTTCCTATGAGACATTGGCTTGCAAAATGACAAGCAGTAAACCCTCTATATATAGACCATATGACTTTGAAAGCCCGGGGCTTATCGAACAAGCAGCCTTGGTGGCAGGAGTTCGACCAAGCACGTAGCCTTTGACCAAGTGCTCAGGATACGATAGTTCCTGCATAGTTGTGGCCATCCATGCATTGCATTTCAATGTTCATTGGAAAAACTAGGTTTTCGAGAAACGGATTGCACAAGATCTTAATACAGAGTCGACGTACAAGGGTTCACACAACTACCCATGATGCCCAATCTGTCCTTCTCTCTTCGGACGTCCCTATCCGCGCTTGAAGACCGAAGGCACTTGCGTGGTGGGCCCTCCTAGACATGGATCAAAGCCACTCGCATTGATTGGGGGCTTGGCCGTTTGTTGTGAACAAAAGATTCAAGGAGGACGTAGTCCTGTTTCCATGTTAAGGCATGGAGGTCAATACAGACTTCTCATAACATGTGTCTATGTGTGTGTGTGTCTCCTCCTCCTCAAGCTCTGGAGCACGGCTTGGCTTTGGACGTCTTGGGGAACCACGGATCGAAGATGACCCTGCCTGGCAAACCAAGCCCCGAACCAGTTGTTGTTATATATATAGGCACTCTCATTCGTGGATATATCGCCGCAATCATGATATATGAGGCAATGTGTGTGAGGTCAGCCGGATATGCGCGTATCCCCATCCACTGCGGAGATTTCGCAACTTCAGGCCTGTCTTTGGGCAAGCTGATGCAAAGCTCGAAGACGACCAAGGCGCGCACCTGGTCAGGTACGCAAAGGATGGTGTCATTGTTCATGCACGTCTAGGGTTGCCCAAACACGTTGCTCAGGCATGCCAATCCCCTTTTCAGCTTTAATCTCATGTGCAGTTGTTTCAGCACGCCCCAAAAGAACATCTATATAACAAGATGCACTGACAAGTGCTCTGCGTCTGCTGGACTGCTCACTTGTCAAACCCCTACATTGCGAAGATCGATATCTAATTAAACTTGTCCCAGCCTGTTCAAACAGACTAGAGTCATGGAAATCGCATACTGCGTGTGCAAAACACGCAACTCTACATCAATTTTGGAAAGCATCCGGAATCAGATCTCAGATGGAGGCACCGCCTCCGCCTTGGCCTTCGCCTGCGCAATTTTATCATTGCAGGCTTCATGGTAGTTTGGTATGACCATTGATGAACATTGTATATATTGGAAATGCATGGCATGGACATACTTTTCTAACCTGGCCTTAGCCTTTGATTTGCCAGCCGCTTTCTTTGGCCGTGCAACACGAACCAGGGACTCAGCAGCTGCAGCATCCTCGGCATAGATCTGAAGGCGGCTCTGGGCCAACCTGATTGCTGCCCAAAGCGAGGTCTCGTTGTAGCTCAAGGGATCCTGCCAATGCGAGGATGTGAACCTATAGGAGCCTTAAAGCTATCGAAATGGCACCAAAAGACTCAGTGGGTATGAAGCCTTGTCAATGAAATCCTTTTTGAGTTGATGGTAGCTCTTCTCTAGCTCAAAGGAATGGGAAGCCATGGTCTTGCCTGCATCATGGGTAAAAAAAACAATGCATACTGCAGGAAGGTATGATGAACACGATGCCAAAAAGCATTTGCATGGGGTTAATATGTCATGCAATCTGGCTGCGTAGCTCTTCTTGGTGGCCCATCCCCGAAAGTATCACAGGATACATTTTGCATGATTGCAAAGACTGTAGGATTTGTGGCAGAATCCACTTGGCTGCATCAATCGCAACCGCAGGCATCGTCTTCCTCAGCCGGGCGCCACAGATTCCGGAGGCATGGCACGCTTGCTGCCAACACTAGGAGCACCCGTGCTGAACTTAAATAGACTTAGAATGGAGCTGACAGGATTGAGATAAGTGACCGGAGTAGTTTCTTTTCTTCCCGAATCCGATCCTTCTCCGCCTTTTCTGCTTCCCTTCTCTGTTCCTATAGCTGCCCGTGTTTAAATCATGGAGTCGCTGATATATATATAATATACAGCAATCTATCGAGGAAAAAAAGAATTCTGGGTCGGTCTCTCGTTTAGGCCTCCTCAGGGTTCTTCTCAGGCTTAGAAAACTTTTGCAATGGCTGAAAGGCATTGTTTTGAACAATGCCCTTTGTAATCTCTTCGGTTGCCAAGGCCATTGCTGCCTTGCATGGCATGCTCGGACGCTCAGGGTGCCCGGATACAACGCACGGACGTCAAAAACAGAGTTTGCTACATAGCG